TATATAATAAATTATAAATATAATAAAAATCGTCAATAATTATATTAAGATATTGATAAAATAACTGGAATAAAACTTGCAATTTATGGAACTCTTCTAGTACATAGACATATAGAAAACATGACTTGGACAAAACATCACAATTAATTAAACTGGAATTATAACTGTGAACTTTGCCTTCTTTGCATCCTATCCCTTACAACTTTTATCACTATTTTCAAAATCAGTCAAGAATACCGAAAAAAGCCTCTTACAAACAAACTGGGACAGAAAGCCAGTATTTACAAAATATACTTGCAGTGCCTTTTCCCAAAGTGCAATTACTAAATGTCAGACAGAACTGTTTATTTCAAACACAGCTCTCAATCCAGAATTTTATTTTAAAGTCTCAGAACTTAGTACCAGTTATAGCAAAAGCCATGTAACCTTCAAGGCTTTAAGTAACTCTTGCTCTGAAATGTAAGCAACAAAATTCAAGATACCAAAACATGGTAGTGGTTAGGCTGCCTAGATGAGGCAGATGTATCAGTAGTTTTCCTGCTTAAGCATTTTAATTATCTGCTTTTTACAGCTGTAAAAGTGGTACAAACAGAGAAGTGTCCGAGCTAGTTTATAGAATTGTAAACTCGGGCACAGAACAGTTAAACGTCTTGCCCAGGATCACACAAAGCACAAGTGAAAAAGTTGTGCTCTCCTGAGCAGTAAACCTCTGTCCAATGCTTTCACACCACACCTTCACATTTTTCTCTAAGATGCATTTTGCATGATTCACCAACTCCAGATACAGATTGCCAGTAGGGAAGCATATTTGAGAGTACATTCTTAATATATGTTTCCCTTTTTTGATGTTACAGCATCTTTAATCCAAGATATTTTAATTTTACCATTTAAAAAGTATTATCAAATGCTGTCCAGAATATCTTCTGAACAGTACAACAGTATTTATGAACAGAGCAAGTGTTATCTATGGCTCTCCAAACCTTTTAGTCAATGGAGAGAGTGGTCAAGTCAAAAAAAAAAAAAAAAAAAAAAAAAAAAAAAAAAAAAAAAAAAAAGGCAAGATTTAAATATTTTTCAAGAAAGGGTAGTACAGAAGTAAAAGTCAGAACTGTGTCCAAGAAGGCTCTAAGAATCCCTGGACATCTGGATGACAACCTCCTTTCAGTTTAAATGGAACCTCTCCCTGAAGCAGGCACATCATCATCATTGGACTCTATTACTTGCATCAGGCCACACCAGTTTTGAGAGCCTGTCCTGGGTGAGGAAGGGCATGCAGTATGTGGTGAAACTGCTCTTAAAGAGAGAATGCTTTACACAGAGACCTCTGTGAAGTTATCTCTGTGGTGAATGGACAATGACACTTGAACTGGTTGAATGATGTCAGCAGAGCTTTTATGAGTTAGCTTACAACTGGCTTGAAAGCCAAAAGGTGGTATACGTCTGCTCTGTCTAAGACACATATTTTGTTCTCTCTTTCTACTAAAGAAGTTTTAAACTATTTTTATTATGATGATAAAGAAGGCTATTTTTTGAGGGAAATCAAAACCAAGCTTATTCTGACACCAGTCCAAAAAAGGAAACAGCAGATACAGTTTGCTTTCTAGTACCTCAAGTAATTTTTAATATTTACATACAAGTCAGGAATCAACCCTGAAAAATGTATCTTGCATGAATGGCTCTGTCAAAGAGAAATCAATTCTCTGTATGTTTAGAATAAAGAAAAGGTCATAAGATTAGAACACTAAATCCTCCCTTTTACTTTTGGGTAGCATCTCAGGATTAATCAATATTCCCACCCAGAAAAGTAAAGAAAAATAGACTACCAAACACTGAAAGTCCTTCTTCTAAGGAAGCCAGAAAGATAAACTTTGGGTAGGGACTGGGGATTCTTTAACTGCCCTTTTACAGACATGTATCTATCTGACCAATAATTTATTGATGTCCAGTTACCTGGGAAGCAGGTTGTTAGGTGCTCCATTAGTGCTTCTTGTGTGACTTGTTTTCGGGCAGAGTTCATTGCCGAGATAGCCAGGCAAAGGATTTCCCCAAGTGGAATAAACTGTGACTGACTGATAGGAGACATGCTGATGGGTGATACATCACCTGTAAAAAGACAACAGATGTGCAATGAAGCGTTTTGTTTAAAAATCTGCTCTTAGAACAAGACTGCAGAGATACAATCGGACAAGATGTGCACAGCTTCACAGTTGCACTGAGCTGGGGATAAAACTCTTACAGTGGAGAACCATCCAACAGCTTATTTCAAAAGCTTACTTCAAAACTCAAGGCTGTGTGAACTTTGGAAAAATGGGGGATGCACACAGACATGGTTTCTCAAAGGGTGCAATAGACAGATTCAGAAAAATGCCAACAAATTAGTACTTAAGAGTTGCAAAACCTTGTGCTCGAATATCCTACGATGTAACTGCACAAACAAAATAGCTGTGTTTATTTATCTGGACATGAAAGGGGAGATCTCATGGGCCATCTCACCTAGACCATGCTTTTGCCAGGATAGGTTGGACCAGGTGATCCTTGAAGTCCCTGCCAGTCTGGTGTTCTATAATTTCACTCCCCTTCCAAAGGCTAGCGCTATGGATCACTCACCATCTCCACTTGATATTTTTTTCTTAATAGTAACAAAGATCAGAAAAAAAACATTGCTAAGGTCATGAATAACATTTTCACTCAGCTGATAAAGCCAAGAACACTCTTTAGATGCACAAAAAGCATCAAACACCTTAAGACTGATAACCTGAATAAATTTCTCCTGGATCGACATGGCAAATGTCTTTGTATGGACCACGTATTTTTTAGAAGACAAGTTTTACTGGTTCCAGGATGGCCTGAAAAGTAACTTCGTTGTAACTTTTCTCATGTTGTCCTTAAAAACTATATGTAACCCATTTTAAAAAAATAATTGAAATATCTTAAAAATGAAAATTCAAGGAGAAATTATAATTTGAGAATACTAGCATGACTACACAAATACACATATATATGGGCATTTTAACATACTTTATATAAATACAGAAATGCTTTTAGATTCTGCTCTATATCTCCCTCTTGAAGCAGTAAGAGTGACCTCAAATAGAAGGAAGCATCAGGCTAAAAGATTTCCTTTGCCAGTGGAAAAGGAATAATACAAAGCAACAGACAAAACAAGGAAAGCTTGACTACAATTTTTTTCTCTGGTCAGAGGTCAGTGAATAGCCAGGGATTAAGATTTACCTAAATGGCTCCGAAATCTCAGGAAAATCACTTATTTCTGCTGTCAAAGAACAATACTTCGTGATCAAATCAAGAATCAAATTACTGGAAATAAGTTCAAATTCAAACTTTCCTCCACAATTTAGGGAATCTACTGTTTTTCCTATTATTTCTGTATTTCTGTTACGTTTACTGAACAGGAACAGCAGTTTCTGAAACTGATTATCAAAATGCATTCTTGCACTATACTCAGCACTTTGGAAAAAAAAAAAGAGACTTGGTGGGAGTAGCACATTGCATAACTGCTTCAAGTGAGACTTATGAGCAATATTTTTAAATACACCAGCTGCACAATCTGTTGTACAACAGTGACACACACTACCCAAGACACAACAATGATTTAAAATACACATTTGTGCTATGCTGTCCCTGATTGCTTCTCCTTAACCAGGCCTGACCAGATCAATGATGCAATCCCAACACATCAGCATTCCTCCAGCTTCAACACAGTGCACCTCTCATCTGACCACAGAACGACGACTTTAAAACATAACGTTTTCCTGACGTGTTTCTTCACATATACCTGAAGAGTTCCTGCTGCATGCTTTACAGATAATGGCAATCAAGAAGATTGTAGGTGGCTTACGGGGAAACGTGAGAGATACACTTTCATGTGACTTGGGAGCAAACACCATTTGTCCCTTCATTATTTGAGAATGGATAAAGGATATCAGTTATTATTTTACTATTTACTAGTAATTATGACCTGAGAGAGGCCTACAAGAAAGCAGGGGAGGGACTATTCACAAGGGTTTGTAGTGACAGGACAAGGGGTAATGGCTTTAAGCTAGAAAAGGGTAGATTTAGACTAGACATTAGGAAAAGGTTCTTCAATATGAGGGTGACAGACCACTGGAACAGGTTGCCCAGACAGGTGGTGGAGGCCCCATCCCTGGAGACATTCAAGATAAGGCTAGATGGTAGCTTGATTTAGTTTGAGGTGTCCCTGTTTATTGCGGGGGGGGGGAGGGGGTTGGACTAGATGACCTTTGGAAGTCCCTTCCAGCCCAGACATTCTACGATTCTATGACTGCTGTCATCTTACATTTGTTCATCAAGGCATCTTTGTAACCAGCCAAGCACATAACTTCACCAACTTTGATAGTCTCTGTGCACTTTTTGTTTCTTTACCAACTAGTTTCACATCTAAAACCCATCAGAATTATGGCAAGAATTTTGCAGATTTAGCTAACCAATTTAAGAAATTACTGTCTTTCACGCAGAGATTTTCTGTCCCGGGTACCCTCGTGAGCACAACTAAGTTCTGCTCAGTGCAGCATCAAACAGACTGGCATATATTGCCCTCAGCTGAGGTTTAACCTGATCAGGTTCACTGGACACTGAAACCCCTGGGTAGCTTTAATGTCACCCAGGTGAAGGGCAATAACTTCCTGAATTGCTTTATCTAGATCATGAAAGGCCTGGCAATTTCTTAAACCAAGGCACTGTGGCAAGAGAATCCCTGTGCCTGCCCCCAGGCACGCACTCACACTGCTGCCTGTGCAGGCACCAGGATGGGACAGCAAGAGGAAGACCTCTTTCCTCCCCTTGTACCCAAAATGATCCACTCACAGCTAACCTGAATGACATTTAAGATTAATCAGCTTCCTGAAGTGGGAAAGGGCCTTATGGAGGGTTATACGTGAAGCCCAGCAAGTCCTGCTGATTTACGTAGTTTGCTCTGCAGCCTCCCAGCTGCCACCAGAGGGATTCCTGGACAAGAACTTGTTTGCAAGTATTTGGGAGTTTAACAACCATTCAATTGACTATAAACATGACTATAATAAACCATAGAATAATAATTTAAATGGCTTTAAATGCAATAGAAATTGCCAACAAATATTGCTTTATGTGAGAGCCTTTTTTGGTTTTGTAAGGTACTATTGAGAGCTAAGCCTTGTTCTTTTCCACAGGGTGCTTTTCAACCTTCTTCACTGTGACAAGGGAACTCCTCTTGCGCCTCTGTTGTGCCAGAACTACCTCCACAGCTTGTTGTCCATAACTGTCTGCAGGAGCTAAGTACTGGCTCTTGGTTTAAAAAGGCTAACATGCATCTGTAAAACTTTCAGCAGACCTAGTGGTAGCAAGCGCAAATCCCCTCACTCAGGGAGGATTTAATTTGCCAAGCTTTATCTTAACTGTCCTGTGGCTCTAGGAAATTACAAGCACTGTGTGGCGATAGTTAAGTGAACAAACTTGTTTGATGCACAACAGAAAATATCTTGTGTCTATGAATTAATGTAACATATTAAAGTCAATTACGTGTGTAAATACTGTTTAGCCTGTCGAACAGAAGGTTTACAGCAACTTCTTTAGGAAAGACCTGTTTCAAAATATCAAATGCACTTTTCCTAACTTTTTTTGAAGACCACATCGCTCACATAAAACATCTAGCATATGGCTTCCCTTAGCTCTGACTGATGCTTGTCTCAAGCAGCTTTCTTCTGAAATCAAATTACTAGCCTTGACTTTCATATGTTTATGTTTCCAATTAAATGAAAACTGGAGCTCAGAAAGCAGTTTTCACCAGCTGACTGCATGTTTTGTTTAAATATCATATATATATATAGTTTTAATTCTGTTTCTGCAGTGTCTTTTCATACTTTTCTCTACAGATTTTAAGAGGTTGCTACACTTCTTGTTTAAAGTGGCACTTAATTTTCAAAAATGTCTAAGCACATAAACAATGAACGAGATCTGTCCTCATTTATGCCTTGGGGATTTGTAGCACTACAAAAAATAATTATTGTTACTTAGAACAAAAGATTATGTAGCACATACATACTTAGCTCTTATACAGCACATTTCTTCAGTGGATTTCAAAACATTTCTAATAGTTGGGTAACTGCAACTGTCTTTAACATACAGATGAGAAAGTGACGGTCTGTAGCAGAGTTGGGAATGAAGATTCACACGTCCTGAACTCATACCAGTCAGAACCTTTCCTGTGCCAGTTTAGCTAGTGTCTCTGTTCTCTGCAAGTCAAGGCATGACCTTCTTGGGAGAAAATGAGGTAGACTATATTCTGCACCATGTATCAGCAATTAAACTAGCAACTATATACTGATGACACAATTTTTATTAGTGATTCTGCTGCTGGAAAGAAGCGATCTGGAAGTCAAACTCCCCATCTCATGAAGTTTGCATGAAGACTGTTTGAAAAATCACCTCTAGACTTATAAATGAAACCAGTTCAGTACAGTCATTGTGAAGGAAGATTAAGGAAATTAAAGTGCAAAGCCACACTATGTTAGAATTTATACACACTATTTCCCTGGAGTGGAGAAGAGACCCTCTGATTACACTCCACATCCTGCAAAATGCAAGATGCCAAAACCTCGTTTCTCTTCTCCATCCAGCCTCTCAACACCTTTTTAACTTTTTGTTTCCTAAGGATCAAGACAAATTTTAAACATTATTTTTATCCTGGTTTCCACAGGAAATGAGGTTTGCACAATCACAGTCTGTGTGCATGCATATGGCAGAGAGGTCAGGACTCACTAGACAACAGAGATTCTAAAATGGGTGTTTGCTGTGCACATTGTGCCTGCACAGAGCTTCAAGCACAGCCATCTCCCACTAGACAGGAGAGAATCCAGTCAAAAACCACCTGTCAAAGTAAATGACATCACTACTTTTGCTGCTTACAGAACTATGTTATTAATCAGAAAATATCAAAGTACGGTAACTTCATGGCACCTCATGATTATAGTGGCTGCAACTGAAATCTACAAAAAAATTTCTTGCCAACAGCCTGTTCTGATCAACACTCAGTTATGATTTCGCTCTGGAAAGAAACACAGAAAAGTAATTTTCAAACAAAAGGTAGCTAACAAAACCAGAACTACTGGTAATGTGCAAAAAGCAGGGTCTCCAGCCTCCAGTGATATCATCACTTTTTTTCAGGAATATCGTAAGTGAAAAGTCTCTTTTAGAAAGCAAACCAAACCCAACCCCACACATTCAGATTCACTTAAAGAAGGGAGAGATGCTGAAGAAGTTACATGTCTGGCCTGGGTTGCACAACACCCCTTTCCCCCCCAGACCTCAACATGACTGAATCACTCTTACGATAGAACACTTACACAGATGTTGCAAACAAACCCTTTTTTATGTGAACTCACAACAAAGATATGTAATTGCCATTTTAATCCAGACAAGGTTTCCATCTGACTGTAAACAACAGGAGAGAAGAGGAAGCATATGCAGATTTCTATGGTATTACGCAGATTACTCTGAAATACCTTGGATCTGCACTAGCACACTAACACAGAAAATAACACATTTTACTGGCAAAATCTGAAATAAAGAAAATTAGAAGGCATGTTGCTTGTACTGTTCTCAGCTATAGCTAAATCCTCCTTTTAAATCACACTTCCTGGAGTATTTTATGAAAAAGCTGCAGGTTGTGTTTACTAGACAGTTCCACATACCAGGACTGATAACAAAGAAAAAAAATACATTGACGATTCGTCCATTCATTGCTGTTTAAGGGCAGCTTAAACAAAGGCTTGACAAATGCAGTAACACACATTTGCCAACCAGTAAACTCCTTCTGCACCTCCGAAATGCACACACACCAGAACACCTTCCCTTGCAGACACAGATCACAAATGCTTCAAGAATGTGACTTGGTAATGTGCCCACTCCAATTCTAACCAGCCTGAAGAAAACAGAACAACCTTAAGAAGGACCAATCATATGATCAACACTTGCCTCTGAACAAAGGTCTAATCCCTTGCCAGTTATTAACTTCAACCACGTAAACTGATCTTTTAAATCATTCGGACCCAGCTAAAATCATCTCCAGGTTCACCAGGTGGCATTAACTTTCAGAAACAGGTGCAAAATTGCTCACGGTCTGCAGACTTCTCTTACATGCATTCATCCTGTGTATTTCCTGTGATTTAAATTTCCTTTTTTTTGTTCATGTCCTGTGGCCAGCTGCCTCTTGATCCAAAGTGATATCCCAGCACATGTTACAACTATGGTCATAAAAAGTTTCTGCTGGAGCACGGAACTCTCCCAGAAGATTCAGTCGAGGAAATTTTGGTGGTGTTGCTTATCCTGGGAAGGAGGAGGGTGGAAATGTGGATTTTTTTTTTAATATATTGTGTGCTTTAGAATGTGTTTCCTCAAAGAATATTTTTCAAATGCATTTTTTAATAAGTGTCCGTGTCTATATTCCTGGCACACAATATGTTAAAAAAGGGGCACTTACCTGAACCCCTATGGTCTGGTTCCATGCTCCAGTACAGTATCCAGAGTAGCTGTGATGTAACAACAATGTGCATATTGGGGCTTTATATCACTGTGGAAGCTGGCTGGCTGCAGCATAGGTCAGTGCCACAGGACCTGAAAGAAGGAAAACAAAGCATGCTTTTAGGCAGTAATAGGCTGAACACCTACCTCTTAAAGCAGGAAAGAGGGGCTTCCAGAAAAGAAAAAATAATGCAGTATCTATGCAGATCCGCTGAAAGGAACACTATTTCACACAATTCTCACATAAGCACAAGAAACAAACGGTTAAGAAATGACAGGGGAGGTGGAGGTATAGCATCTAAAAGGGACTATAAATATAACTCTCACACAGTGTTTTGAAAACATCTCTCTCCTTTTGCCCTATTTCCACAGCATGGCTGGAATCAGAGTTTGACACCACCCCCTGTTCTGAAGGCACTCACAGTCTTTGCAAAGCACCTCTCCACTGCAGTGCCTCAGGATTCTGCAGTGTCACTCCTCTTCTCCCTGGCTCTCTGCAAAGTGAAGTCATAGGAATGGATCAGCCAACCTGACTTCTCACTACCCTGCCCAGAATCCTTTGTGAACTGAAATGAGTCATCGCTCTGAAAAAAATCCACGGTGAAACGTTCCAGGTTTCTCCCTACGTCTGCGCTGGCTTCTTTGTCTTTGAGACAAGTGCCTCTGCTTCTGGAACGGTGCCCAGCTGCATTGAACAGGATAACAAGCCAGCCTCCTCATTAACTGGACAAGAAAGCTATTTACATGCATTAGCAAAGACAAGTTAAAGCTTTAACTCCCGAGTCAAGAGAAAAAATTCACCCCTAACCTATCTTCCTGATGTAATACACAACCCCCAAAGCACAAAGCCACAAACACGCACATGTATGTGCACACACACTTAGAGCAAGATTTTCTTAAATTATTCACTATTCACCATGACACTTACCAGTCTTTACTCTATTGATTAAAAAGGAAGATTTACTCTCCTTTGTCAGTCCTGAAGAAAGACACAGACCTGCACGTAAAACAGCTTTGCTGAACAGTGGATCAAAGTTGTGCTGCTGCAAACTGTTTATCAAAAAATTAGAAGCAGTGGGCAAGTTCTTGCAAGCTCATTTTTCATCATCACATTCACTATTTCAGTTCACAACAAAGTGAGCCCTGAAACCATGCCAAACAGAAAATGTCAAACTGCTCCAAGTGCCGAGAGCCAGCGGAGATGCTTCAGCTTCTGCTGCTACTGACAAAGAAGGTAATGCTCAGAACGAGGTCACTGTGTCAGGATCTCACCCCCAGTGCTATGTTTTCCTTTGCTTGGTGAGGACATGCTAAGCTAAACCACCAGGAAAATACAGAATAATAGGTAGAAATAGTGCGTGACAAGAGACAGCTGCTGCTGTTTTGGAGAAACGTTTTTAGTTGGTTAATGATTTTCTTTTAAGAGAAGAAAACATTTAGAATTGTCTTCACTGCAGAAGAACTATTTCTAGTCATGACCTAATCATCAAAATGAGAAGGCTGAAATGCAGAAACAGAGGGGCAAACAGAAAAAGGAATGCTGCCACAAAGCACTCCTTTAAAGGTTCCTGTATCCTAAGCACTCTGTAATAAAGTACACCAGGCACATAATCCATATACTCCTGAAATACAGCACTTTATGGCTCACTCGTGCAGTGCTGGAACAGGTAGGTCTCTTGGGTTCTCCCCTGAAAGAACATACCAGGTGTTTAGGACTGAATGACATGCAAAGGTCACCACCTCCCTGTGCTGCAAGCTGCAGCCTTACAGCCACTTTTTCAACCCTAGCAGTGAAAGAGCCAAACCTAGCCTAAAACAGGTCTATGTAAGCGTTTCAAGAGGAGAGGTAAATAACTGGGTTACACAACTAACAAACACCACTTTTGTTTACAGGTCAATGGCAACTGTCATGCAGCAAAGCCATATTACAAACTGGCTCATCTGCCAGTGTAAGGTAAGCTGGGTGCTTTGCTACACCTGTCCTTGCACAGGAGCCAAGACCTCAACATTAAAAGCCAGGGGTTTGCTATACGTACAGTTCAGCAGTTTCTGTTTTCCCTGAAACACCTCATTCCAGGAAATCTTCCTTCAACTTTATAGGAGTTTTGCTTTCCCTGGGGCTGCAGGATCAGCTGCAAAGCCTCTAATGAATCCAACTTGGCATTTGCAATGTTTGGGTCCCCCAGGATCATCAAGCAGAAACTCTGGTGGTTTGTCTGCTAAGCCCACACCCACTGTACAGCAATGGAACTCGTTCCAGGAAGGAAAATTTCTGTGGGCTTAAAAGTTAATTACAACGGGCACCTACTGAAAGAAGAAATGAGAGCTCCCACCTGCTTTTCCTCTTCACCAGACAACATTCATGCAAAGCTAAATAGCCAGGCTTGTGTGTGCAGTACTGTTTTCACACACATAAACAAGTTCTTGCATCAGCCATCGTGCTACTATCACTGAAGTTAAAATACTGGTGTAAGAAAGACAAAGGTAACACCACAAACCCAAACCCCTTTTTCTCTTACAAATTTCTCTACCACTTGAAACCAAATTATACGCTTATGGCCAGCAGCTTGACTACTCTGAACAGACTAACACAACTGCAAGTTGAGTGAGAGAACCCCGCTTGCACAAGTGACGCCCTAGAGGCACCTAGAGCGTACTGAGCGTGCACATTACTTAGGTGCACATACACCTCGTGTGGACATGCACCCAGGCATGCTTCTTCCCAAATTCATTAGCTCACAGCTCTTTAATCAGTATTAAGAACATCAAGAAGTGCCTGATACCTCAACCATAAGAGAGTAAAAGTGAAAGGAGACCAGCAGCAAGGAAAACGTCAGTAAGAATGTTTAGAAGAGCTGAAGTTGATGGCTGAACCAGTGCTGCCATCATCAGTGACGTTACTGCAGTGTAACTTCACAGGAGGAAGGCCTAGCCAAAATACCACATGCACTTCCCAATCAAGGCCACTACTCTGTTCCTCTATCCTTTTTACCTACCCTCCCACCCCAGCACACGACAGAAGTTGGTACTGAAATAAAAGCTGCCTTATTGACAGTGCCTGGCATGAATACACCATATACTTCTCCCTGCATAACTCCATTCATTCTCATGCATCCAAATAGACCAGTACAGAATACAGCATGGTCTGAGATGAGTCTCCATCATCCACTGAGAAAGCAGATGATGCAAAGGTCTCATTTTGTTCCTTTGCACACACATTGTGTTGGAGCTGAACACAGACACCTTTGTCAAACTCTGTACTGAGATGCTTGAAAACATTCTTGAGCCCTTCAGGCCAGGGCCTGGGATTCTCTTCCTTTGCCACAGCCTTTTCACCGTTGCCACAGGCAAACACAGGAGGAGAAAAGTAATGTGCTCAGATGGGCAGGAGGGAGGAGGCACAGAACAAGAAGGGTTAAAAAACAACACCTCCAAAAGATGCCAAGAAGGTTATCAAGAGCATGAGAAAATTCAGACTTGCTTGTACCCATTTCAGTGGATCCTGAATTTCGGAGGCCAAAATCAGCCATTAGCACTCACCCTTCAGGGTCTGCAGCTGCAGAGACTATGGTCATGGACCATCATGATTACTTCTACAACAACCAACTTCACAAAGTAGGAAGCACCCAAACACCGGACTGGGAAAGCAACCTATCAGCCCTGTGGCCTCAGAAGAAACCAGACTAAGGAACATCAGAAAGATACAAACTTACATTTGTATTTGTTTAGGAAACCTCTTCATACTGAAAGTTTTGACATATTAGTGCTCCACTAACAAGAACTTACTTGCAGTATGCTAATAAGTTCCACTTGCCTTACCTGAACAAATCTCCTGGTTCTTTAAAAAAATATCACTTAAGAGAACACAAGAGGGAACTTGACTGGAGTATTAAATTCAGCAATATCCCAACAAGCCCATCTGTTTTTGTGCTAACATTGACTAGGAGCTTTAATACTCCTTTTTTTCCCCCTCCTGCTGCTTGCTTCCCAATATATTTGCAGAGAACACACCTGCCCTCCTTCAGATCTCATTCCACTAGCTTTTAAAACACTAACACCTTTAGTGTTCTTTTGATGTCTGCCCCTTCTGTCCCTTTAACATTTCTAGGGAGGTCTTCTACATTTACTCTAACTTAGATAACTCTTTTTTTAAAAAAAGCAACGGCTAGAATTCAGCGCCACATTCTGGTGTTCCAGCTAACCTCTGGCCTGCATCATTGAGATTTCCACAGTTTTAGTGGAAATACCCTGATGTGTATATAATAAGACTGAAACTTGCTCTTTTTTTCCACACCTGTACTACATTGGTGGTTCTCTATCACCATAACTGAGCAACTGGTTCCAGTTATCTTTTTTATGTTGCCTGTAAATAAGGAGTTTGAAGCAAGTTTTCTTGGGTTCGACTCCCAAGATGATGATCTTGTCCATGATACTTAAACAGCTCACTCTGTGGATGTGACTAAGGATCTTTGATCATCCAAATCTTCTTATTCATTACCCACTTTTTACATATCTCCACTTTATTACATGATAAAAGCAGTCACAAAAAGTAAAATGAAAAACAAACAATAATTTAAATGTTACCTAACGCAAGACAGAACCATAACTCCATGTCGCTAATACCACAACCCAGTAAGTGACATTTGAATAGAGCCATCAAGACTTAGTAGGAAAACCAAATCAACCCACAAAACTCTCTCCCCCAACAGCCCAGTAGGTAAAGTAATTGTCTTTTTAAAATTCAACTGCTAAAAGTAGTTTCTTTAAATTACAGTTCACTGGAAAGCACGTGATATTTTAAACCACACAGAAGAATTCTCTAATAGATTTTGTAGCTATGACCATGGGATTGGAGGAGAGGAGGGTTTCAGGTGGTTTGTTTTGTTTTGTGTTTGTGTTTTTTTTTCCCCCTTTTGTTTGTTTGCTTGTGTTGTTTTGGTTTGTTTGTTTGTTTAAAAATTGTCATAGAAACCTCTTACTATTAAATTATTTCAATTAATGTTAAAGCTATATTGTAATCGACCACAGCACCTCCCCACCCCCTCAAAAACAAAGCCTGCCTATTTTCTGGCAGCAAACAGTAAATGCAAGGGGAGACAGAAGCATTAAAAAAATCTAACACTAGAGGAGATTTGGCATGAGAGAGTGAGAACAAGGAAAAAAAAAAGAAAAAAAAAAACAACAAATGATGATAAATCTAGATGTTTTCCTTTAGGGTAGAAATTCTATAAAGGCAGAGAGAAAATATTCCTGTAGAAACACTCCCAAAAGCACAGAACATGGCTGCTAAAATGTAACAATCAGCCTGCCTTAGCCACATGTTCTTCATGATCCTCTTCAGGTTAGCCAGAACACATTTTCAGAACCGCTGGGCATGCTGCAGCAAACATTGAGCAAGAGTCTAGTCAGCAGTTAAAATTCTTGAAAGGTGAAGGGATGACTGGCAATA